GGGACCGGGCGTGTTGTTGCACGGGGCTACCCCGGAGGGGGCGACGAACAACAATGGCGGGGGGGGGAGGGAGGGGGAGGGGAAAGGAGAGAGTATCGAAAGATGAGTGAAGACTCTCGGGTAAGGCCCTAGCCAAAGGCCCTGGGGACGCCGGGCCGCACAGCCAAAAGCCCCCCCCCCTTCCCCCGGGACCGAGTGCCCTCTGGAGAGAATTGCTTCCTGGGTGGAAGGGAAAATGGACGGGACCCCGCGTGCTGGCCTCCAGGATGCATCCCCAGAGCGCGGGCGGCGGGGCGCGGGGCCGGGCGAGCCCCGGGACTCCCCCATTCACCGGGAGGCCCCTCCGGGCCTCAGCCGGGCAACGGCCCCCGTCGCGGTTGCTGATGCCATCACACCTTCGGGACGGCCGACAAGCCGCCCCTCCGCCACGGGCCTCCATCGGCTCTGTGACAACGGAAGAGGGACAGGGGAAATGGGGAAAGACGCACCCCGCACACAACGGGGAGCCAGGCTGGCCCGGCCGCCCCCGCGAGCCATATCCTCCCTCCTCAACCCCTCCCCCACCCCGCGACGCCCAGTTCAGGTAAAAAATAAAACAGCGACCCCCCCCCCGCCCCCCGCCCCCCGCCCCCCAGAGGCTGGGCTAGAATATTCTCCCCCAGAATGCCTGGCCCAGTCGCCGCCGCTCGGGCGCGCCGGTGTAAGATGCAGGGCAAATTCCACAATTCCTCGCGCAAAAGAGGGCGAGGCCCGGCTGGCTCTTCCCCCGCCCGGACGACCGCTTCTTGCCCGGCGGCCCGGGAGAGCGCATGAGCCTTCCCCACCCCCGCCCCCCCCACCGGCCCCCGGCATGAGGGTCGGTTCTGATCGTGTAGATCCCGCCATTGGAATGTGTTGCCCGGGCCGAAACGCCATTCCCGCGTATACCAATCGACAGAGGCTGCCCGTGGGCGGGTAATTTGTCTAGGTGTAATGGAGAAGGGCAAGTGCCAACGGGGAGACGAGGCCTCCCCCCGTCGGGGCAGGGCCCCGGCCCTTGCCCGGCGGCGTCTTCCCCCGGAACAGAGAGGGCGAAGGAAGGGAGGCAGAGAAAGGGCCAACAGGAGGGGGGCAAAAGGGGAAGGGAGGGGGGAAAAAAAGATCAGGGGGGATGGTCCTGGCCGGGTGCGGCGCAACGCAACAATCAGCCATGCAGGCTCTCGCGCGCCGGCACACACACACACACACATCCACGCGCAGCCATCAGCGCTTGTGGAAGGCGCCCTGGCGGAAGGCCCCGCCGCCGCGACTCTTGCCGGCAGCACCATGGCGGTGGCCGCCGTGGCCGCCGCCGCGACCACCACGACCGCCGCCGCGGCCCCCACCGCGGGGCCCATTGTGGCCGGCACCGCCACGGTTATGGTGGTGCCCGGCTGGCTGGTCCTTGCGCTTGTTGTAGAAGTCCTGGAAGAGCTTGGCCCGGTCCGGGGCATTGGAGCCCGTCCCGGCGGCCGAGAGGCTGATGCCGGCACGCTCCAGAAGCTTGGCGTCGGCCTCCTCCTGCTCGCGGCGGAGCTTCTTCTTCTGGTTGGCCGTCAGGCGCGGCTTATCCATGAAGGTGTCCGCCTCGGCCTGGGGCTTGTAGCGGATGTCGTGCTCCTGCATCCGGGCGGCCTTGGAGAAGTCGGCCTGCAGCCGCTTGTGGCTGGCCTCATCATCGCTGTTGCCATGCTCCAGATCCCACGAGGCAACTGTCCGCCCGATGGGGGGGGGGGGGGGGGAGGCATGCCGGTCAATGGGTGGCCCAGGGCCGGGCAAAGCAGGCGGGTCAGTTTCCCCGTCGGGCGAGAAATGCGCATCGGGCCGAGAGGAGCCACACAAAAGGAAGGGACAGCCGAGGGCGAGAGGAACACCGGCTGCCCGGGCACATGTGAGAGAGAGGGGGGGAGGGGGGGGGGGGGTCGCAGCACGCACCGTTCATCCGCTCGCCACGACCAAGGGAGCGCGGGTCGAAGCTGCCCCCGCGCGTGGCCACCTTCAGGCCGGACTTCTTGCCGGTCACCGCGGCCAGGTGCTGCTTCAGGGAGGACTTGCCGGCTGCCGTCCGGGGAGAGGGCGCCGCCCCGCGAGCCAAAGGAGTGGTCACATCGGCATCAGAGTCGGAGTCAGACCCGGAGGAGGCCGAGCTCCCGGCATCCCGGTCGCTCGCATCATCCTCCAGGCGACGCGTCTGGACCTCATGCAGGCGGCCCTCCAGGGAGTTGTCCTCGAAGGAGACCGTGGTGGTCCCGGCAACATGGTGCTTGGTGGACCCGGCCGGCCCGGAGAAGGCCGACGGGATCAAGTGGTAGCCCAGGGCCTGGCCGGTCTCGATGGCGGTGCTCGGCCGACCGGTGGTCACCAGCCACTGGCATGTGGAGGTGACCTTCTCATCGGAAGCGGCCTGGACCAGCGGGGCCGTCGGGACGGGCATCGGCACGGGGACCACCTCCACCTTGGGAGCCGGCTTGCTCGGGGGAGGCGTGGTGCCCTGCGGTCAAGTGCGGTCAGTGACCCATCCGCCGATGAGGCCCGGTGGCCGCCGGCAACAAGAAGCACAGGGGAGGCAGGCGGGCCGCGGGGGATGACGCCGGGCGCACCTTGCGAATGTAGAAAAGCATGTACGCCCGCTGGGCCAGGACCTTCTCCTTCGAGGAGGAGCTGACATGCGAGTCATCCATGAGGTTCCAGATGCCCGCCGGGGACTTGACAAAGGAGTAGTAGTGGCCGCTGGTGGTCGAGTGGCCGGCATGGACGAGCACACCGTAGAGGGTGTACTTGGACAGGAACGACCCGGCCGGCGGGGGCTGGCTCATGAACTTGGCGATGTCCAGCTCGTCATCGAACTCCACGTGCTTGGTGATCTTCGGCGCGTAGCCGAACATGCCGGACAGGCCGCCAAACTCGCCGAAGCGCTTCAGGTGGATGGTCAGCACGCTGGGCGGCTTGTCGATGGTGAGCCGGCGCTCGGCGTCCACCTTCTGGTTGCACCTGGCCGAGTGGCAACCGGCCGTGGAAATGGTGTTAGGCTTCCGGGCAGGGGTGGAGGGGCGGGAGCCAATGGGAGGGACCGACGCAGGAAAGATGCGGAAGGGGCACATACTTGTCGCAGTGGTACTTGTTGCTGCCGGACAGGTAGGTCGGCGCGGTGAAGGCCGCCAGCGCACGACGCACGGACGAGGCATTGTTGATGGCCAGCGACAGGTCCAGGATCGGGTCGAAGGTGTCGGAGTTCTCGCCGCACGCCTTGCAAGCGACCCGACTCCGGAGCGACCCACCGAAGATCTGGTGAATGGCCGTGGCGTTGTTGAGGGAATTGGACGTCAAGGCCTTGGTCCCGGGGGGGAGCATGCACTCGCTGAGCTTGTCGATGAAGTACCGCATGAACTCATGCGCGTCCTCCTGGCGACCGAACTGCATGTGTCGCGCAATGCCTGCACGGGAGGGGGGCGGG